GATTCATATTCCTCGTCCATCATCAAATATTTTCCTCCTACAGTCTACACATAGTAAGTAGTGTTCTTCATGTAGTGCTATAGACCATTTAAAACACTAATGGGTTTGATGTATGTAATTATTTGTTCTCTCAGCTGTGATCTGTTTATCTAAACAAACTGTCTACGGCTCCATGGTGCATTCACTGACTCACTGTATAGACCTAACTAATGGTCACTTTACCTGATTGTGTTTTGTGCTTGGATACCTTCATGTCTCCTTCAGAGAATACAGTTGACATGCTTATAGTAAGGTATAACTCATATATGGATACAGTTGCAACTTATAAAACCCCTAGCAGTACAATGCCACATTATGTAGAATTCAGTGAAGATATATGGTGAAGGTAGTCTCTCTTTTTTTTTTTTTTTTTTTTTTTTTTTACAATAACAAAAGGATGATTCTTAATTCCTTTGTAAATAAGAAGCTGCTCAGTGAGAAAAGGATTTATTGAAAATAGGTTAAAAGGAGTTTGGTTGAATAGAATCATGTAAAGAGGAGTGGGTTCTTTCAGCCTGGCTGCTTTTAAGAGCTAAATTGAGGTCAGTCAGAGATATCATAAATAGATAAAAAGGACTGATTGAGATGGCCAAGGAGCAAATCTCAGCTCAGATTCAACGTCTTTCATACTTTCTTACAGCCCTCCACCCTCACCCATGTTCTTCTCTCAGCTACAGCAGGAATTCAATTACCAGCTCTTCTTCCTTTTTTTTTTTTTTCTTTTTTTTCTTTCTGAACTGGGCCCAATGTAGTTATCCTTAGCAGTAACCGTAATCATGCCACTGGCATTAATTGGGCTGTAATTGCTGAGGCTCTCGGCACCTGGACGATGCTTAATTGTGTGCACTGTGCTGGCACAATGACCCATAATTTTTGGTTCATTTTTTCCCCTAATTTTTTCCTTCTCATTCCATCTGTATTGCTCTCCCACACCTCCATCAGCCTCCCTTTCTCTTCGCCGTGTGGGTGTATGTGAACATGTGTGTGCCTTAAGTTGTTTCAGTTTTAACCAACTGGTCGATTGCCATCTGCACTTTGAGTTCATTCCCGTTGCCTCAAATGAGTCGGTGGAAGACCTCTGTGTTCGATCGTATCAGTCTGGTGTTTTGTTGTAATAATGAAGTTAAATAATTCTGCGCAGTGCACTATAAAAATAAACCTGATCACAATTTACTGTTTCTAAGCTACTGTGGGAGGCTTTTTATACAGCACTTAGCTTTATTTACCCTTAACTGCAGGGCTGCAACTAACAATTATTTTCATTATCGATCAATCTGACGGTTCTTGTCTTGATTAATAGATCAATTGATTAATAGTGTGGTCCATAAACTGTCAAGATGGTGAAATATGCCTATTTCAATCCGTCAGGGCACAAGTTTATGCATTCAAATTACGTGTCGTCCTAATAACAGCAAGAACCACAAGATATTCATTATTATCTTATATGACAAAGAAAAGCAAGTCCTCAGATTGGAGAAGCTGGAACCAGCAGTTGTTTTATAAATGACTTAAAGAGTTGATCCATTACCAGAGTCGTTGCCTATTTTTGTGAATCAACCAATCAAAGTAATCGTTGTAGCCATACTTCACTGTTGGTTCACTTTTGTAACTGTTACCTGCTAAGCAACTAATTATAGATGTAATTTGGGGCCGTCTGTCTTAGGCGCTGGACAATTAAACTAAAAAGTATCAAACCTGACCTCTCACCAACTTAATCTTGCTCATGTCGGTTAATTTGGTTAATACTTCCTCCAGCGTGTGCGTTTGTGAAAAAATATTACCTCATGTTCAGTGATGTGCCTCCGACCCGTCCAAGTTGGTCGTGTTCACATGAAGTAAACCTGGTGACATGGACGACACAAGTGTAAAAAAGTGAGCCTCAACCTGAGCAGCTTAGACGTAAAAAGAATATCGTGTCTGTCATTTGTGCGCATTTCAGCTTCAGTGAAAATGACACTGAACAAAGATAAGTCAAATGCAAACACTGCAGAAAACCTTTTCTTCTTTTCAAAGTGGAAGGGACAGTGCGATTGACAGGGAAGTTGAGGGAAAAAGAGGGGATGAGATGGGCCCGGGCTGGTTTTGAACCCAGGCCACTGTGGTAAGGACTGAGCCTAAAGTGATAGAAAGAGCTCATGGCTCAAGCAAAGAGAGAGAGACCCATGAGTGCGAAAATAATCGTCCATTAATCATTATTGAGCTGAAAGTTTGAAATAATTGTGATATTGATTTGAAGTCATATCGCCCGATCCTACCTTATCTTAAGTCTTAAGATAAGATAGGTACCAGATATTACAGAAGCAAATCCTAACTAACTTTAGGAATCTTATCTCAGTTAGGGAAATCCTAAATACTCCATCCAGTGTTGGTCGTCAACGTCTACGTCTGTTTACCTAGAGACCAACGCTACTTTTCTCATCTCAACAAGTCGTTTCTGGTTTACCATGAGACTCTCAATGAATAACTTTCGTCTGTTGACATTTTGTTGGTTGTATAAAGGCAATAAAAGAGCAGCAAATAGATTCTAAATCAGGTCCTAACCCTAATTGACATGGTTACAAAACAGTTAAGATAGGATCTGCCAGTTAGGAAGTTTCTGTAATATGGACCCCAGAGGACTAAACTGACCTCTGGTTTTGTTCTCGTCTGGTTTGGTAGAGTACTCTGGAGCAGCTCCACAACCAGTTCCTGCTGGTTTTGGATTCCCTGACAGATTTCTGGGACGTCCTGGATGAGATCGACTGCAAGACCTGGATTCTGGAGCCGGAGAAACCCAGCCGGTCGGACACCATGAGGCGGATCACCATTGGTACGGTGTAACACACGCAAGGCAGATCTCAGCACAGCTAATTCCAGTCATCCAGACACTTTGTGTGTATAATCCACTATCACATATTGTCGTCGGGACGGGTACATCCTGTCTGTGTGTGCAGGAAACAACGTGTCCATCAAAGTGGAGGTAGATCCCAGACACCCTAAGATGCTGCCTGAGTGCTGCCTGCTGGGAGCCGAGCACGGTACGTAGACCCCAGAGACATGGAAACGCTTCAAAGTGTGTTGTCAGGCAGCACCAGAGCATTAGAAGCGTAGCTGCTCTATTACACACCCAGAACTGAACTGAACACACTGTATGAAAGCATGGATAATCCTCTCCTCATTATAACACAGTCATCAGCTGCAGATGAGCGTTGTCAGTAAATAGTTTTTTAAGGTGAGCGTCCGTCATTTTGGACTCTCCAGGATCTCAGCTCCCCCAGAGGTTAGCAGCTCTGTCAGGCGGGCACTTTATTTACATGCATGTATACAAACTGAGCCAGTAACACATTAGAATGAATCTGTTTCGTGTAACAAAACAAAATGAATTTTTCTCCATGAAAATAACATTCAGTCTAATAGAGAACATTCACTGAGAACTGAGAAGCTGAATTATAGTTTTAGTTGTTAAACATTTATTCTTGCATCAGTAAAGTTGTCAACTGTTGCATCCCTTTTATTAGAATAATAAAATTACACAGGGTCACCTGTAAATCAAAATATAAATGTTTTTTAAAATGTATTTCCAAAAAACAAACAGAGGAAGTGGCGATATGTTATCAGCCCTGAATTTATCTGCAGCCCCCGCCCCCACTGCAGGCTGTGCACAGTCCCAGGGCAAAGGCCAGGGCAAAAAATGTCCACCAACAATTGCCACCACTCACAAAAGGTTTTAATACAGCTGTGAGCTCGGGCTAATAATTGAAGTCGACTTATGGACTCCTGGACACTCACAGGACACAGTTTTTATTTTTTATTTATTTTTTTTTTTTTCTTTTAAGTTATTTTTTTGGGCATTTTTTGCCTTTTATTCTGAAAGTTGCAGTGAGAGAGAGAGAGGACGGCATACAGCAAAGCACCACAGGTGGCATTCGAACCTGGTCCACTGCGGTTAGGACTGAGCCTTCGTGGTACATGCTCTACCAGCTGAGCCCCAGTCAAGTGACATTCTACTGTGTAAATCTAACTGAGACAATAAAAGTAGGATGATAAGATTGGATTCTTGCTGTCAGACAGTTTGAAATCGGTAAAAGTTCAAATTCAGCTCAGCTAAATGAGCTCTGAACTTTAACTGATTTAGATCAGGGATGCTGCTGCTGGTGAGACAGAGCCCTAAAACTCAGGCCCTCATGTGTTGCTTTGTGAAAGTAGGGTCATTTAAGCTAATTGATTAATGCCTCGACAGTTTTTTGATCAATCATGTTGTCTATAAAATGAAAACAATAAAAAATGCTAAAAAAAATATATATATATTCTATTGTTAAGTAGCAAAGTGAAAGCAGCTGAAACACACAGACAGGTTTTCTTGGATAAATCAAAATAGCTATCCCTTAATTTTACTATTGATCAACTAATCAACTAATTGTTTTCACGTTAATGGGAACAACAGTGTCCTGTGCCTCTTCATAAGACCCGTATCACTGTAATCAAAAGCCTGATTTCAGTGAGTAACGCACCAGCCGAGGATCAGCCCAGGCAATAAAGTGCAAATTCTGCCTGGCAGCCATTATTCAGATCAGATCAGTGAGAATCCGTCAGGCGTGAATGAAACGGCGCTTCTTTCTCACTGATCCCCGCACGTCTCGACTTCAACCAGGCTGATCGTGTTGACTATTGTCTGTCGTCATGTCAGAGGACTTGCTTCCAGAATGGCACATTTTTCATTCTCACCACACCAACATGGAGCTGACCGGCGAGCTTCACATTTCTATTTAAATCCCCGTCAATTGTTGGCCATTGTTTCTGTAAACTCAAGGTCATGCAACTCCTAGCCTGTTGCCTAGCAATGCAACTCAAAAGATATTAAACACACACACACACACACACACACTTCAGCCAAGATGGGAGGCAGGCGGCGACCCTCAAATATGAGGGGTCACACGGAAATATTGCTTTTTGCATGTAGGAATAACAAATAGTGAAAGTGATGAGTACCGCACGGAGACAAAGTTCCCCTGTGGATCAGAGGAAGCGGTGATGGTTCATATCCGACAGTGGTGACGCCGCCGTCTGTGCTGAACTGGGCTGTTGTCAAATAACAGACAGCGTTTGAGGGTATGCGGAGGAAGACAGTCTAATTTTCCGAGGGCTTGTACTGTACACAACAGTGTGTCTGCAGCTGTTTGAAATGTGTGGGGGGACAAAAACGTCAAATTTAAGGTTTTTAGTAGTTTTACAATTTAGATCTAACACAGAAAAATGTCCTTTTTCTTTTGTTGTTGCTGCTGCAGTGGTGACGCCGCTGAGGAATAAGCTGAACGCCAATATGCACATGTGGTGAGTTCCTCTGCATCGACTGAGCTTCTGCTTGAATTAATGAATGGGTGAAAATTCAGTGTAATAATTGATCAGTTTTCAGTGGAATCATCAAGATGACGATCATGTTGCTGTTTTTATAAATTCTTTATTAAAGCTTTGTTTTACATATGAAAAGTTTGGCAGGTTTCCATCAGTGTAAGTCAGTTTAATTATTTTTATGTGATTCTACATTGTTGTGCCCATGAAAAGACCAAAACTGACAATGTGTTAAGGGGCTCTCACATCAGGGCCAAAGTACACTTGACCCCAAAGTCCAGTTCGTCTGCTGTTCCCAGGGGTCCACTTGACAAGCTGGTCTCGAGTACGGTTCAGGTACGGTTCAGGTACGGTTCAGGTACGGTTCAGGCACGGTTCAGGTACGGTTCAGGCACGGTTCGCATCAGGTGTGAAAACTGCCTTAGTTCGTCTTCTAACTCTCTGACCTCTTCACATTCAGTTCCTGTGAAAGAAGTACTACTTTAAAACTGGACTTTTTTTCTTGGACTATTTTTATATTAATAACGAGCCAAATGATTGAGTGTAATCGCCTGTAGCGACAGACCCAGAGAGAAGTATCACCATGTACAGTTCCTCTCTGCTCCACAGTGTTTTAGCATCTTTCAGCTTCCTGTTTTGTTTTGTTTTTTTAGGCCTGTAAAAGTTTTCATTTTGGTTCAGTCTCATTTCTCTCACCAACCTGGTCTCCAGCGGCTGTAGCAGAGGTCACTAACAAGCAGACCGCTGTCTGAATCTGGACCCAGGTGTCGTCCTGTCCAGACCCAGACCCTAGAAACCCAGACATGATTGAAAAAGCCAAACCCTCCCTGCTCTGCACCGGACAACAGACATAGTTAGTGAACAGCTGTTGAACATACTGGAGCGTTTAGCAGCTAAAGAGCCAGACATTTGTCTCAGGAACTGGTGGAGACCAAAACAAAGCTAAAAGCCAAGTGATCTGTCGACTTGCTTTTCTCAGGTGAACACAAACACAAACTCCAGATGGATGCTGATGTCGCTCTGCGTCTGCTGGATGTGTGAATACACAACTGTTCCACCTGTGAGTGATGTTGAGTGATGTTGTAGAGTTCTGTGCCCAAAACACTGAATAGTGTTGCTTTAAAAACATGATATGAATACGCATAAGTGTTTAGCAGGATGGTTGAGTCGTAGTAAAAATAAACGACACTGGGTTCATGCAACTGTTTTTAATCATTTTTGGGCAGTGATTGAGCTCAGTGGCTCAGAGGAACGACGTGGATCACGGGCAGATAAACACAACACTTGTTACAGGAGACAGCCATTGTTGGTTTTGGTTTTTTCATGGGATTTAATGAACGTATCATCCAGCCCGACCTGAGATCATTGTACCTTTTACATGAATCAGCATTATCAGTGTCTGCATAACACTTCCACTACTAGAAGAGTAAAGAAGCATCTGATTATCAGTCAGGAAAAAAAACACATAATCACTCTTCATTTTGTCACAGAGTCCAGAGGAAATCTGCACTTTGTGACAAAACGAAGAGTGATTATTTATTTTTCCTCCTCGCTTGACGACTCTGAGGAGAATCTTCCTCCACCACTGTTCAGTTTGAAGCAGCAGAAATGCTCCTGTTTCTTTCTCTCTCTTTTTTTTCTTGTTTTTTAATACCATTGGTAAAAGCCTCCTAATCATCCCCCAGTGTTTTTGCAGGCTTATTTGCATGTGGTTAATTAGTGTGTGAAGGAGCTGTCTGTGGTCTGCTGGCAGGAACCCGGACTCCAGCGTCTTGCACAACCTCCGGGATGTTTTGGAGATCGAATTCCCGTCACCTGCCACCCACGAAAAATCTGTATGTCACACAGTTGCCCCCTCCCATCATGATTACCTCAAGGAGCTGCGTGTGTGTTTGTGTGTTTGTGTGTGTTTATGTCATTTCTACATCTATGCTTGTGTTTGTGTATCTGTTTGAGCTTTAAGTTATAAGGGGGCGGACATACACTACTGCCTATTTTTCTGTCTATTTCCATATTTTTCTTTCTCTCTGTGTTTTGTTTTTCCAAGAGGTGGGCACAAATTCTCCTTTAATTGGGTTGTTAACAGATAAGATCATTAGAATAACAAAGATGGCAGAATTCTCTGCACTATCAAATCGCTTTAATTATGCAAAACCATTTATCTCTCTTTTTTTTAAACACACGTTCTTTTCCCCTCCCCTCTCTGTGGATGGGTTGAAAGGGCGTTGTGTTTATCCGCTGTCACCGCAGTGATTAATGCCTCAGCTTCATTAACATTCAGAGGAGTGCAAAAAAGTTGAGTTGACCAGATGTTGATTTTTTTTTTTTTTTTTTTTTTTTTTTTTAAACCTGCCATCCTCAGTCTTAATGGATAGCTCCAGAAAAACAGGAGCTTCTCATTACGCCAAAATGCAAACAAGAGCAGAGAGGAAGAGTGTGTGTGTGTGTGTGTGTGTGTGTGTGTATGTGTGTGTGGAGGCTCAGTGCTGAATGTTTCCATTCATTGCATGTGCGTGTGTGTGTGTGTGTGAGAAGGTTCGGGGTGTTAGGAGGTGATGTCAGAACTACATCTAACTAGTATGTTTGTCTCTAAGTGGTTACAGAGGTCCTGCCCAAATCTTCAGCATCTGTAGTCTGTGTGTGTATCTTGTGTGCGTGAGCAGGCTCGGTGCTGAATATTTCCATTCATTTTGTGTGTGTGTGTGTGTGTGTGTGTGTGTGTGTGTGTAGGCTTTCAGCATTGAGTGTGGGATTTGTTACTCCTATCGTCTTGAAGCTGCGATCCCTGATCAGGTGTGTAACGACCCTCGCTGTGGCCAACCCTTCCACCAGGCCTGTTTGTATGAGGTATGGACACACACACACACACACTCTCACACTCTCACACTCTTCACTACTCATTAATGAAAAGTTAAGATAAGAATAGACAGAAGTGTCAGTAACAATGCTCCTCAGACAAACTTCACCTGTCGTATCATGAGCAGAACATTTCTCTTTAACCAGGGTTTAATTCATGTGCCACATAATGGGGGCGGCACGGTGGTGCAGCGGTTAGCACCGTCACCTCACAGCATCAAGGTTCCGGGGTCGAGTTTGCATTTTGGAGTTGCAGGAGCTTGTAGCTTCCTCCCACAATCCAAAGACATGCAGGTTAGGTTAATGAAACTGTAAATTGCCTGTGGGTGTGAATGTGAGCCCTGTGATAGACTGGTGACCTGTCCAGGGTGAACCCCCCGCAACACTAACTGGATAAACAGTACGGCTAATGAATGAATGAATCACGTAATGGGTCATTGTTGGCCTGTTGGATGTTATATGTGTATGATATGTATATAACATCAAATGTCAATATGATTATTTAACATTAATTTCATAATCCTGTGTAGAAGTAGAACTTGTGATTTTACTGAAATCTACTGATTTATTTGTCATATAAATGTTTCAATACTTATTCACTTCTGTAGGTAACTGATCAAACCAGCTCATTAAACTAGTTTGATAATAAATGACATGTTTATATTGAAGAGAAGGTAAAAGTGGAATATATTTAATACGTATGATCAGAATGTTGTTTAAAAATGCAAAACTAACACAACATATGTCAAAGTGCTGTAATGAAATGACCATGTGATGTTCGCAGGTCAACTCTGGAACTGCATTTCTGCAGATATAAATAAAACAGTCATATCTACGTTAACAAAGGGTTGGAGGTTACATTTAATAAATCACTTGACCTCGCAGAAGAGTGCACACTCTTTCTGCTTTTAAGAGTTAATTACTTCATCACAGATGCCTAGTGATGGATGTACACATTACTCTCTGTGAGCTTACACGTTCCTTAAGCTTTAATGCTGCATCCACATTTAATAAATCACCAGTTTAAACTATTAATTACTCAGAACTTAGGAAGGATTTGAGCACAGCTCAGAAGAGTCCTTAAAGATCTTCACTCAAAGACCGGATACATCCAGAGCTGATTTATTTGATCCAACTGGCATGAAAAAAAGAGTCAGATGCTGTTTTTAATCAAGCAACCATGTTCTAAAAAATGACTGATGTGGATGTAGTTTTAGCATCATACTGCCTAACCCTGACTCCCCCTAACTCTAACATAAACTGTGATCTAACACAAATTAAATTTAAAAAAATCCTTCCATTATCTAGTGTGTTATAATATTGAAAGGTACATCTTTTGCTGGTGGGCGGCACGGTAGACAGTGGTCAGCACTGTCGCCTCACAGTGAGAAGGTTCTGGGATTTTCTGTGTGAAGTCAGCACGTTCTCCCTGTGCGGGTTCTCTCTGGGTGCTCCGGCTTCCTCCCACAGTCCAAAGACATGCACATTAGGTTAATTGGTGACTGTAAAGTGCCCACAGGTGTGAATGTGTGCGTAACTGGTTGTTTGTCTCTATGTGTCAGCCCTGTGATAGACTGGCGACCTCTCCAGAGTGTACCCCGCCCTCACCCAATGTCAGCCCCCCCCCCCCGCAACCCTATAACGATGAGCGGTATAGATAATGGATGAATGGAAGTTTTGGTGGTGCTTTGACAGAAGATAACTAACTAAACTTGAATGAACATGAATGAGCCACCAAAGAGTCTAAAGGAGGTGAACGGAAAGACAAAGAGATTCAAACTTGTTTTGAAATGAACCTTCTTCATTCTGACACCTAGCTACATGAAACAGTAATCTTAAAATACCACATAGAAAAGGGAACAATTTCAATAAGATTCAAATGAATAAAAAATATATACGACTATAGATATTCAATGAGCTCTTTCTAGAGCTGAGAAGACATGAAAGGTTATGTGTAAAAGCTTCAAATGCTTCAATGTGTCAGATAATCTTGAATATACCATTAAAGTGTGCAGTAATAAGTGTACATTGAAACAAGCGTTATTATCACTTGACACTGACACACCAGATTCAAGGTAATGATGTGATGAAGTAGTTCCTTTTCTTCCTTTTCCCTCAGTGGCTGCGAGCGCTGCCCTCCAGCAGGCAGAGCTTCAGCATTGTTTTTGGAGAGTGTCCTTACTGCAGCAAGGTACGTCTGCACCTCACAGCGTTTAATAAAGGTCTCCGCCGCACCGTCAATACATGTTCAGCACACTTAATTAGCACGGCTCTATACATCACGCAGCCTTCTCTTTCCTGAGAGGCGGCTGAGTGCGCTCACAACAATGTGTGACATTCACTCGGTTCTAATGAAGCTACTTCTGTGATACAGCATATAAAACATGTAATACTGGATGTTTGTGAATGCAGCATCATCACTGAGTCCAAGTCACAGCCAGGTTTATTTGTGCACATGATTTGGAGTGTGTTTGGCAGTTGTTCACCCACACTCCAGACAGGACAGCGCATTTTAGTTTTTTCTAAAGCGATCCTTCATATACATGTAAACATAATTATTAACCATATTGTAATTATTAAGAATAAACTGAGGCTTCTCTTTCAATTGCAGCCTATCACAGTGAAAATGTCAGCCCAGAAGTCCTGAGGAGTGGCTCTGGGTTCATATCAGCTCCATCTTGCCCATGGGGAATGGCTCAGGAAGAAGCTTACCTGCTCAAAAACACTTAATTTTCTAGATTAAAAGGGTTTAAATGCACTTTGTCAAACTCCAAGAAGCCCAGAACGCAGGCACCCAGGGAAAGGAAGACACCTGCAAAGACAAGCCAGTGCAGCAGTCCTGTCCTCTGTGTGGGACCAGCTTCCTGTCCTGGACCTTTGAGAACAGAGTTATCCCAATCACCAGAGCTGTCTCTGTGTTCATGACAGAGGTTTCTGTCCCACCACTGTTGGTGGCTGTAGCCTGCTCTGTGGTTGTGTATCAGCCTTTCATCATCATGGTTCTGACTGTCACACCCCGGGACGGCGTGTTTCCTCCTTTGCAGGCGGGTTCCTCGTTCCTGCCTCGCTGAGGTCACAGTGAGGTCGTCTCTTTTCCTGAAGGTCTGTTTGGATTTAGTTTTCTATCAAAGAGAATAATTCAAGTGTTTGCTGTTTTAGAGCTGACAATAACGTGAACATGTGAATAACTACAAATAAACTTGTGAACAAGTGATTTCCAACTGAACACTTTAGTGTTTCTTTTCAACCTTCTTGAGGACTTGAGTCACAGCAGGAATCGTAATGTTTCAGACATTTACAAAGACTTAAGTACAATCAAACACTTGTTTTTTTTACATTCATCAATAACATTCAAACCGATTTTTTTTCAAATTTCAGTTATAGATAAAGAACCTGGCTGCTCTTACACATTTGCCTCACACCTGTTTAGACTGAGTTCTGGGGGCTATCGGAGGGCCTCTGAGGTAACATTCAGGGATGGGTCTGGGTCTTGTCTTATCTTCATCCTCATCTTCACTATCATCTTCACTATCATCTTGATAAGTCTGTACAGGATCAGGTCTTGGTCGCTGTGATCTTCTGGGAGCAGGAAAAGCTTTTTCCTTCTGTGAGCAAGTAGAAAAAAGTTTACTGTTGATTTCAGAATACTTTTGACAATGTTATTCAGTTTAAGTGAAGTTATATGATGAACGTGTGTTTACACCCTGACTGTGGCCTGATATCTTTAATGACTGAAATGAAAATTGTGATGACTGGTGCTTCATATAACAAGCGTGTCCCATAAGCCTTAACATGTCTCCACACTGGTGCATGCTAGCATACTGTGAAAACATATGCATCTCTTCTTTTGAAGTTATTCATTGGGATGTGGACAGTGAGTGACAGGAAAGGGGGAGAGAGAGGGGATGAGGTGCAGCAGAGGGAGGTCTGTTTGGCTGGATTCAAACCCAGGCCGCTGCAGTAAGGACTGAGCCTGAGTGGTAGGTGCTCTATCAGGTGAGTCACCAGGACTCCCCCACTGAGCATCTAGTTATGATCACAGTCTACCCGTCTTCTAATGGCTACTACTGGCAGTACAGTAAGACATGTCACCACAAACTGATCCACCGACATGACAGTGAGTTCAGTGAACTCCAGTGATCTCCACAGTCCACCAGATCTCAGATCATCTTTGTGATGTGGAAAGTGCAGGTGACAAATCTGCAGCAAGTGCTATTGTGTCGACATGGAGCAGGATCTCCAGGAAGTGTACGAACCATGAAGAGTTCAGACTGTTCAGAGGGCTTTATCAGGTAGAAGGGTCTAGCTAATAAAATGGCCTCTGAGTGTATTTTGTTATAAAATAGTCTGAACACACATAGACTGAACTTTATTATGGGTTGTTTCAGATCTTACCTGCGCCTGAGGTTTAGTGAGGGGTGGGGCTCTAATGTATTGAGTGGGCACTGGTTTAGACTTGGCTCCCTCCTGAACTTCTTCATCCATCACTGTGGCTGTCGGCTTGGCTTTGGGGGCTCCTCTGGCTCGTCCTGCTTTCTGTTGATAAATACATGTGAGATTATTTACTGCTGGAGCCAGTTTAAGAAAACACCCCTATCTGTTCTATACGCCCCTACTTTGTTACCAGGGCCTTTAAACCCCGTCATGAAATATCTTCTAAAAAAAAAAAAAAAAGAGAGAGAGAAAAAACTTTTCCAACTATTTTCATGATGTTAAAAAAAAAAAAAAAAAACAATCTTAGAGCAGATTCTCTTAAATAAAACTTTGACTCTTCATAGCCATTATCAGATATAAAATAATTTATTTATACGACACTAGTGGCAAATGATTCAGTGAACATGCCCGTTGAATGGCCTTTATCTCGGCTGACATTTACTCTCCTCACTAAACCGCCTGTAAATGGCCACTTCTGTTTAACTAGGGATCAAACTGGCCAGCACTTTAGCATGGAAATTAAATGACACAAGGAGAGGAGAGGAAATCAGGAGCATAATTGGAGACATCCTGTGCTGCGTAAAGTGTGTGTCATCAACTTCTTCAAATTGGGCCATTGAGAGGGCGCTCCGTGGGCCCGAGGGGTCAAGAAGTGATTCTGGTGAATTTGAGGAGAATCGCGCTTCTCCTCCAGCTCTGACCTGGACACGTCTCTGGGTGACATTGTCAGTGAGGGGAGGGGGGGGGGGGGGGGGGGGGGGGGGCTCAGTAGGAGGTTAACTCCCGCTTCACTGCTGTCACGTTTCCACACTCTCAGGTTAGAGACATCATGAGGAACAGAACTATTTGTAACCAACACTGAAGTTGTTGAATGTTCTCTGCATGCAAAAAATTGTTTTATGTTTTAAACAAACAGCAAGGATCAAATGACTCAAACTATTCAGTGCTACTGTTAACTTTCTGTAGCACGGGCACACACACCGTAAAACACACTGTCCCTATAAAAGACTATATGCATTACACACTTGCACTTCCATACTGAATCTGTCATAATTGTGATGTTACTTTACAGTCTACTGTATGTGCACCATACTCAGAAACATTTCCACAGGATATAGAAATGTTATTAAAACTCATTGTATCAGTGACAGTTGCATTTTGAAAAACCTGAAGGAATACTTCAGTTGACCAGCACACAGTCTGCTGCTTCACCTCTGATCTGAGCCGGGACTTCACGAGACAAAACCATGTTTTGACTTCGTACATTTCATTTGTTTTTTTACAGCTGATAGGTTATTCCTGACAAATCAGAACTTTGTACCTGTTTGTCAGGCACTAACTGTCGTCTTTGCACCAGTGCAGCAGAATCACTGGAAGATGAGTTCACAATACGAAGTAGTCCATTACAAGGAGGCGTCTGTTGGAAGGTTCACGTGCCTCTTCAAAACTCCGGTACGTTGTTGTGACGGTGTGACGTCTCTTTCTCTATTTGAACCCACACCCAAATGACAAGTGAGCATTCAGTGTTTTCCGCAGGTCAGAAAAACACTATACATATACATACTGCCACATGAGCATCACTGAGCAGCACAGCCATCTCTTCATTTTACAACTACCTGCTGTTGTTGGGGCTGCCGTACACACAGTGCAGAATGTTCTTATTTGACGTGATTCCTCACTTCCACTCCAGTTGAATTGACAAGAGCTGAGGTTATCAAGTTGCAAATGACTAAAAATCTCAGCCACTGTTAAAAAGAAGGATGTCATACGTCTTTCACTCAAAATGTCTTCCATCTAGCCACTCTACCATTAAGGCCTAATTGATGGGGTGCTGTGGAGATGGCCGCACTATTGGCAGAGGACTTCTGGAGCAGAGTGCAGCAGCTGGGTGGAAAAAAAAAAAAAGTAGGTCTCATCTCTTGTGCTGGTCTGCGGCTACGTCCGACTCTGTGATTTGAATTTTTGAAAATTTATTTTACTGAAAAAGAAATAAGACAACTTATAGAGTTGTTTGCAGCAATGAGTACTGTCAATATATTCCTGATTTCTTTGCTGCTTCTTCCTGGGTTGGTAGGTGCATATAACACCTACAGCAGCACTAGAGAGTGAAGGAACGCTCTTCTAATAGCCCAACATACAGTTGTCTGATGGACATTGATCATATCGACCATAGTATTTTGAAAAGGCCCATTTGTCTCAGTCCAGTTGTTTTGAGCTCACCAAGTGAACTGTACTAACCAGGGAAATACACTTGGGTTTATTTTAATCAAAACAAAAACAGATTAGATGTTGAAATCAGCCTTAATGTTGATCTTTTCTGGAAAACGCAGGAAGTTGTGTCTGTTACATTTCTGTCAGGTGCAAAAACCTTTTGTTGGCATCAATCACAGAATAATTTAAGTAGTTGCTGACACAATCTCATGTTTCAATACATATACAGGATGTACTGCCACTGTTAGACTGACGGGATCTCACACCATACACTCATTCAGTTACAAGTTTAGACACAAGGTCTCAGCCCCCCTCACCTTTTCCCTGGTGTGAAGATCTGCCGCCTTGGTGGATGACTCTGCTGCAGATCCTTGAGGCGCGGAGAGGTCAAGTCCTCCCCTGCCACCACAGGCCAACAGCTTTTTGAGATGCTTGTAGTCTGGCTTCTCTTGGTAGCCCAAAGTTTTCACATAAAGGAGGAACGCAGCCACCTCGTCTACGGACAGGTACAGAGAGTAGTCAAACAGCAAGTCAAAGATTTACAGCACGTCCAAATATTTCAACTCAAATATCTTGTAGAATATTCTGGATAAATCCGGATCAGTCAAACCCTTTGGTGTAATTTGTGATTCGTTGCACAAGCATTATAGTTTGGTTTTACTAGCTGTGAGGCACTAGGTATGAAATCGTCTCTGGAAGTCTTGAGACATGCAGCAGCAAAGGCAAGATGAACCTGAAGGTGTCACAGACCAGATGTGTATCAGCCTGGAAATGTATCTCCCAACAGAGAGCAGACTAGACATGTGCACAGCCATGGATCTGCACTGTGTCTATGTGTGGAAGTGGCATACACAGTCAGCCTCTATACATCACACACTGACAACGTACGTATATGACACATACTGCGGTAGAACTCCCCCCCCCCCCCACCACACACACCCACCCACACACACACACTCACACACACAGACACTTAGTTGATGCATAAACTGGCTCTTATCTGTGGCGGACAGCAAGCAGCTGGTCCCAGCCATACATCACACACACTGAGCCCTCACACAGGTGTGACCTCTACTCATAAAGAGGAGATAACACACGACAGACTTTGAAAGGCATGTCAGTGGGACGGCTGTTTAACTGGAGCCTCAGCTGACTGGAAGAGAGAGAGATTCATTCTGGGTGAAAAGTTTTGGTTCTGTGACCTTGGACACAATGAGGATCTGTTGTAGTCCAGACCAATTTTTAAGTCTCATCTCAGCAGACTGCAAGATAATCCATTTTAAAGGCCCTCTTCACATCAGGCATGGTTAGGTTACTTGGATTAAACAGGCTCAAGTACAAGTGATTGAAATCCATGGATTTTTACCAAAATCTGTCATTGAAAAAAAACAACCTGTGGGAATCTGTGCACAGCCATGTGTTCACAAAATGAAGAATATAATATGTACTGAAACAAAGATACCTTTCTGCTAAACATCATCACCACCCTAACAAGTACAATGAAATGACAGAAGTGACAAGCTGAAATGGCTCCATATGATCAGTTGATTTTGTTTCCCTGCCATTACATGCAGTAATAACCTCAGGACAACCCTTTGAAGATGGCAAGGTGGACAGTAATGGAGTACATTTACTTGAGTACTAGTCGATTTAAAAGACAAATATTGTACTTTTGACTCCACTATATTTATATGAGGAACTCTTACTTTGAAGCATTGTTTAGTCAGTGAATTTATTTTTATTTTATTTTGAAAAATGTGATAGACCATACACTGTAGTCATTACAGGAGAAAAACCAATCACAGCCAACTCCTCCACTGTCAGTCATGTGTGAACCTGTCAGTGTCCTAACCATGGAGATGTTAGATAAAGATCAGTTCAGTCAGCAGGTTGTTTCAGAGTCATTAGGTTCTGTAAATGTGGAACAATACAACAATGTGTTGACATAAAAAATGTACTTTTGAATACTTCAGTACTTTTAATTCAAGTACTCCAGTACTTCAACTCAAATAAAAAAAACAAAAAAAACAAATTTCACTTGTATTGGAGTCATATTTGACCAGAGGATCTATACTGTCAGGTAATGGAGCAGTGTACTTTGTCCACCTCTGGTCATTGCTCCTGTAAAACCACTCAGAAGTTCAACTGAAAAACAGTGCATGAAATTATTCTTTATGTGAAGCATTGTGTTTTTTTCCACCAAATAGATAGTATAGAGGAAGTACTAAAAAATAATCTAATGAATGTAAAAACACAGAAACAACAGAAAGTCAGAATAAACGTGATATCCTGATCAATTATTTGCAGTTATGCTTTTAAAATCTGAATTATTTTATGGTGAGAAGTCTAAGAAATATTGACAGATTCCCAATAAGTCATCATTTTAAGATTACAGGAAAACTTTTAACCCTGAGTTCACTGCCTCATTTTGTTTGGCAGGACAGAACAACAGCATTTAATCTCAGGTAGAATCAGTAAAGTGCACTAACACTCCAAAAAGAGCAGACTGCCACTTCTACTACTACTCTGCCCTGAGAACTGAAATGTGATGTGTTGAAGACGCATTTCCTGCTTTTGTTAAAGGACCAAACAGTGAAAAAATCATCCCAGCTCAATGTGATTTCAAAACAAAAGTCCAGAGTCATTTCATCCATTCACACTGCAGAAGTTGTGGCCACAGTGTAACTTTCTACAAACCGCCTGTGACTTAGCTTGTTATCAAAAACTCTCTACACTTTGGAGCAATTGAACTTTGTCCATTTTCTTAATTTCAGTTGCCAGTTGTTGTGAGACAATGAGACAAGTAAGAAACTGAACATAATTCTCAAGGACACATCTGATCATTTTTCATGCTTTACATGTTTTCTTATGAATGAAAAACCATCTTGCTTATGCATACAGGAATATTGCTGTACAACAGCATTACCCATATGCTCTGTGCTTGTCAGCCCACAACCTGAATTAGTCTGAATTAGAAGATGCCCTGCGGCCCTGGCTTACCTGTGCTGGCTGTGCTCACTGACAGCTGCTGGACTGAGTCTGGCAGATTCTCCATCAGTCTGAGGGAGGAGTAAAGGAAGGTACGACAGTGAGGAAGTGAGAACATCAGCATTACGAGAGATGGAGCTCAGAGGTGGATAGTAGAGTTAGAACACAGCAGGAGAACAAGCTGAATCCAAGCCCAGGCAAACTGTCCTACAGGATGTTCATACAAAATATACAGAGCAAAGTACTATTTCACAGCTTACACAGCAAGCATTGCAATGCAATTCAGTCTAATATTTAAAGTTATATGCTTCACAAAGTGTTTTATTGCATAACTATATTAGATTGTATATATATTGGATATGATATCCAGCCTGTGGATTTAATTTTATATTTATATATTTTATATTTCATGACATTATAAAATGTATTTAGACTGGAGGAAAACCTGAGACATACAGCAAGTATCTAGGAAGATAACAGAGGAATATAAAAACCTTGCAAGTGGCTACCACCAGCTACAAACATAAACTTCTCATTGCCATTAATTATTTTAGGAATTTCTAAAAGTGTTGTCATGTGGCGGTCTCTGCAAGATGGCCGCTTAGACTGAGTGGTCTTGGCATCACCTTCTAAAAATATTCGACAATCATGGTCTACCCAAATGTGCATCCTTAAAAACATATAACAATGAACAAAAACAAGACAAGAAGTATGGAACATGCCGATGGAAATAACAATGGCAACTCCAATGCAGACGGTCACCTCCGAAGTATTCATCAGCTACTGAAGCAGATGGTGGCTGAACAGAAAACTGCATTAGCTCAGATTAAACTGTCAAACTCATCAAATGAGGAGAAACTTACTGATATATGACCTTGCTTGGACAACAAACTACTGGTCTTGGACGACTCCAGTAGTGATCTAGATATTAAGTCTTTCAGAAAATTGCAGGCAGAAGCTCATCTGTAAACAGTAATACTGGCACCATGTGCACACCCACACTATGTTAAAATCAATCTTCAAAAATGATTCAATTACACAAAAAACAGATTCATTTTCTCCAGTTAACAAAAGGGTCATGAAGTATACATATTTAATTCAGCTAATTGCTGACCAGGATGTTCCCTACTGCCCGTCATTACTCATGCTAGGGGATCCGTCCACTCTGACAGACAGATGGCTAATATGCTCGGCAGGAGATTGCTGGTGCAACAGTGAAAGTCAGTGCATGTCCCATTGCTTACAGATTGGCCTATCCTGGATAATAGAGTGGCTGCATATGATACCCTGTATCCATTACTTTGATGGTCAAATTAGACTGGTATTATATGAAATGGAGAACTTTTCCTTACTTTGTTGATGGATCTTAAAGGTATATCTATAGCAAAAGCCGTATATCATTTCTATATCATGCACATGCACACACCTCCATATAGGGAGTGTACAAAAATTAAATTCAATACATATATAGTGACATACCCATGGTGTAAAAATATTCATTTAAAAAGTCAGTGTTATTCTTAGACAGATGGAACTGTAATGACATTAGCCCACTAATGTGTGAAGACTCGCTATGCCCTCAGTGTGTGTCTGTACACAAATCGACAGGTAGCGAACAAAACTTGAAGAAATCCCAGAAGCTGGAGTAAAGTTTATATTCTTTACTGTTGTCTGCAGCTCTTCAAGTTACAACTTGTAAAACTGAAATAAACGAAAATATGGTATGTTACACTAAGATACAGATTAGCATGACTCAGGAATATAAAGAAGCTAACAAATGAGTAGCAGCAGTAAGCAGCAGATTAAACAGAACGTTTTAGCTGAGTGTAACACAGAGCTTAAAATACATAAACACAATGTTGTAAAATGTGAGTCTTTCATGAACAAATGATACTCACAAGCAATAAACTCCAAAGGATGGACACAGCTTCAAAATACAGGTAGAAAACTCAAAGCAGACCTCATGGCAAAACTAGCACTTTCTGAAGAGAAGAGGAAAAAACTGGCTGACCTGGCTGCATCACATGACAAACTTAACCTATAGCCTTGAAGCTGGAGAAAACTCAAAATGCCCACCAGAGGGAGAAACACAACATTTTGTATATAGAACATGACAGTTAGCATAAACAAGCTAGTTTGCCTTTGTGAACGTTGTGTGTGGCTTTCGCAGTTCACAAACAGCAACAGTAACATTTCAGGACATGAAGATGTTGTAGACATGATGTTAATATAAAGTTAACAACTGAAATTCACTCAGCCTCAATTCTGTCTACAGACCAGGACGCCTCTCTTCAAGGTGTTTAGATAAGTTTCAGGTGTTTCCTGCTTTCATTTGAAATGCTCTGCTGTACTGTTTGTATACTGGCTTTTAGTTGTCTATAAGCTCTATTCCAAGGGCACCTGCCTAGACGTTTCATCACAGGTTGTTATATCTCTGCTGCAGAAACAGTACAAGGGATTACCTACCTGGTCTTGGCCTCCTCGACCTGAGCTGGGTTCCTGAGAACACCGTCCCAAGGCAGAGACCGACACAACCAGTGAAGAAGACAAAAACCCAAAATCTGGAGGTCACTGCGTCTAGATGGGTCTAGAGTGAGACAGAAATTTGAGGTGGTCAAAAATTACAATAAAACAAATATTCTTTTGCCATTGATATTTTTACATCCTGCTTCTTTTATCTATAAATTATCCATAATTCAATTTCAAGTTTCAGTTTGTGAAAGCTTTTAAATTTGTTGGTAAAAAAAAAAATAATAATAATAATAATAATTTTTCCTCATATTTTAAGAATAATCCCACTAAAAAGCAGCAGTGCAAAAATCAGTAGCTGGATTATTGTGATCACAAAGAGTCCTTTTTAGCATTTTTAACATTAGATTTTAGATTTTCTTTTAGAAGAACAGTCAAGGTTAGAAACAGGTACCATTTGCAGAATCATCAAGTTAGAGCTGATGCAAGATTCACAAAGTAGAATAAATCTAAAATTCTGCAGCACAGGTGCTAATTCACCTCTTACACTGTATCACATGTCATAGGAACACACTGTGTGTGTGTATACAGTCAGAACAAGTCCCATCTAACTGTATATTAACAAAAAATCAAATGATAAGATAAATTAAAGTTGAAATACAAGGTTTACTTCTGATCCTTATCAGCTGTAGTAAACTCAACATAAAGGTAGTAGTGGTTGGTATTGTAGCATGCTCACAATGACAATGTAACATGCTAATGTTTAGCAGGTACAATGGTTTTCATGTTCACACCATAATTAGCACAAAACACAAACACAATATTGCAGATGAAATTTTGACCTGATGATGGCTATACAAGTTCTTATCATTAAAGCTCTTGTCCTGAGAGAGACATGAATGTCTGCACCAAATTTCATGGCAATCTTATCTTACCTCTATAGAAATAGAGGAATTGAATGTCTGAATGTCTGTTCTGTATGTTCGAGACATTCCAGTCTGGACCATAGAGGTAAAAGCATTGCTAACCCTAGAACCATTGAACTCCACCTTTTTTTACACATCCAAGTCTGTCTACAGGTGTTGGGGAAGACTGCCGCATATTTGAAACTAAAATTACCACCTCGCAGTTGTAAGCCTCCACTAGTCAGGTTCCAGTTTATATCCATGTCTGTCTAGTCTCATAATATATGTAGTGAAGACTTTGAAGGAATTTAATAAAAAGGTATTAAGTAAATGGTAAATGGACTGCACTTATATAGCACTCAAAGTGCTTTACACTTCAAGCCACATTCACCCATTCACATACATTAGTACAGCGCTTTCTTCATACACACACTCAAACACTGATGGAACAGTCATCAGAGGCAATTGAGGTTCAGTATCTTGCCCAACGACACTTCAACACACTGGAGGAGCCGGGGATCGAACGACCAACCATCTGATTAGTGAACAACCTGTTCTACCTCCTGAGCCACAGTCGCCTAGTAAAAATTTTTCTTATTTGTGATGTAGTGTGAAATAAAACAGATTTGACTTTACTTTGTTAAGCTTTGTTCCTTAAAAATAAAAATCCTAAATCCCCTAAAAGTCTGGTTCTGATAGAGGAAAAACTTGTAGCCATGACAGTAGACAATGCTTCAAAAATGGATGTTCCTGTAGGAAAGAAGCTACAAATTCTAAACCATGGATGCTTCACACCCATCTTCACCCCAGCATCACAGAAGATCTATACAATTACCAAAGTTTCAAGGTGGGCACCCAAGATTAGTGTTACCAGTTCTCACTGTTCATTTGATCAGGAGGACAGGTAGAACAACAGAATTTGATATTGGGGAAAGTATTTGAAGACATGAAAAATTGTATGTACGATGCCTGTGTGATTTCCAGTGAATTAAGACTTCCTTAACAACAAGTCAAGAGTATGTTGTGTCTTACTGTGAGTGTGTGTGTGTGATTGCATGGGGCTACATTAGTTTGTGAGATCTATCAATACATGGGGACCAAGTCCATCTAGAGGGGTCGAGCCCGGGGAGTTTTAGCAGCTCAATACTGTAACGGCCGCCACACGTCTCCGGAGAAATTACCTATTGACTGGCTCCATCAGAGGGGAGAAATCTCCTCCCTGAGCCACAGCCAGCATTGATCCTCCCCAGCCAACCGTCTTGTCTAAAGAGGAAGCGTGGTCAATGGCACACAGGACCAGATTACATGGAGTGTGAGGGTGGTAATCTGATTACATGTGAACATGCATGCTTTGCTCATGCTTTTTCTTTATCTATAGTTTTCATTTTTATAAACACTCAGAGTTATTACTGATGTCTTTTCACAATTACACCTCATCTACAGCTAGGGTGATATATCACTCACTCCCCACATGCAGAGTCACTTCATCTCTCTCAGCCGCTTTCTCCAGAGGCGCCACACCATACTGACTAAAGCTGTACCTAGAAACTCGTCTTGGTTTGAGCTCAGTTATGAAATCCTACTACAGCCAACAGAAACAAGTCGTGATGGCCTGCATGGTGTTGTCCAGTGTAGATTGTTTCCATCACCTGTCTCTAGCTCCATCACAGTTAGTTTGTTGTGGTTTGGTCATTTTAAGACTCAGTTCGTAAAGTTTACAACCAGCCACACTGCCGCTCCTTCATTTAGTAAGACAACAAAAAAAAAAGTGCGGTCAATCGACTCACAAAATGCAAATCAGTGCATCACGTGTGAGTGACTCATGGACTTTTAGGGAACAGCCCAATTAACGGCTGGATGTTGACAATGACTGTATACAAAGGGCCTTGAGAAGAGTGATGTTTGCTAATAAAACCCTACATCAACTTTGAGGGTAATTTTCAAGAGATTTTTTTTGGACCTTAACATGCAACAGGTGAAGAGAGGTTGAGAAATGCTGCTTTAGTTGATACATTACATTCATTTTGGCAGAGACTCAGGTAAATCAAGGTCTTTGCTGCCGTTACCTCTGTCTACTATCTATCTCTATTGCATGTCTGTCTGGTGCTCCTTCTAAAGGTTCCTACCTATTTTTTTTTTTTTTTTTACCACATTTAACATTTTTAGTGACTTTTCACTTTCTGTGTTGAAGGTCTAATGCCAGAATCAGATGCCATAATATAACACGTTTTATCCTGAGCAGTGTGTCAAAGTGGAAGACAACTGATGTCTTCTCTCTCTCTAGTATGATGATGAGATCATTAGAGCTCAGACCACTCTTCTGTGCACAAGTGTAGAGATCCATCCATCCATTAGCTATACCGCTTCTCCTTGAGAGTGGCTGGCAGCTTCAGCCAATCCCAGCTGACATAGGGCGAGAGGCGGTGTACACTTTGGACAGGTTGTCAGTCTATCACAGGGCTGACATGTAGAGACAAACAAACAATTCAAACTCACATTCACACCGACGCCATTTACAGTTGCCAGTCAACCTAACTTGCAAGTCTTTGGACTGTGGGAGGAACGGGGAGTTCAATTACAAGTATAAGTTCTGCATTCAAAATCCTCATTTCAATTTAAATTATCAGAGAGAAAAGTACTACATCTTCTCAAAAATGGTCGCTGTGACTGATACACTATTAAATATGTATAGTAAATGCTTAGATTGTTAATACTGATGCATCAGTGTGTAAAGCAGTATTTCACTGTTGTAGCAATTCAAGTAATTTAATTTACTTCAAATACAGTCGGGGCCTTGTGAGCCACAAGATAAATGTGAGGATTTGTGAGATGATTAACAGAGGTGGAATGAAGAAAATAAAATCTTTGTTCTAATTGTGTGAAATATAGAATAATTTAACATTGTTGGGCCTACCCAACAACTGTAATGTAAATATTAGGAATTGGGGGCAAAAAAATTTGTACATTTCCTTCCTTCCTCTTAGGTTTTTTTATGCACTAATTGAAAATGCTCATTAATTGACCTTAAATGCACTTTATGATTGCCTAATCTGACTCATGTGTCCAGTGATTATTTCAAAAGACACATAGAGGGTGTAAATAAATAAAACTTAAATGAATAAGAACATCTGGATGAGATGAGAGAGCAAAGCGCAGATATTTCAGCAGTAAAACTGGTGTTGACTGACAACCTTTAATTTAATTCAAATATGAAACGCTCATTGTCTGTTACACTTCATCTCAACAACTCTGACAACACAAGTTAGTTTTGTTTGCCTTTGCATTAAGTCAGCATTACTCTTTGGCTTCCTATTGTTGTAAATAATTACAGTACTCCATTGCTACTGAGAGCCTGTTGAAGGACAATAAAGATAAAAAATACATATGACACTGACATTGGAAAAGTATAGCAACTCCCTGAGCACCCTAATAGATTAACAATTAAAAGATCAACAGGTACATTAAGCATTGCTGCCCTCCGTGCATGCTCTAGGCACATTATCACAACTCATATTAGTGTTTTGTGTGTCTGCTCTTCTGTATTTAACATGTTTTGCCCTCATATAAGTAATGGCAGAGAACAGTGAAGAGATATGCATGTGCAAACACATACACATACACTTAAACAGCTCTCAAAGGAATCCTGGACATGCTTGAAACACACATGCACAGTACATAAATACAAAACACCCACATAAATACACACGCATTCTCTACATGCTTTAGACAAGGAGGTGAGGCAGCAACGATGTTGTTAATTATCTCCTATTGTTATTCAGATTCCCTAAAGCGTGCTGCAGTGTCACACTCTTAACCCTTTTGCTTCACAGTCTTGTCTTTGGGAGATGGTCTTCTGTCCGATGAACGCCCACCGAATGGCGATAATTACACCGTTTAGCTCTGTGTTCAAAGGCCTGCCACTCGCGAGCTGTGTTTGCCAAACCTCACCATGGCAACCTGTCAACATCTTTGTGGGTACTGGTGCCATGAGGTCAGAGAGGGGCAGACAAGGGTCTGGTCCTCGGTCATTATCTCCACACCACAGTAGGAAATACTTTAACACAACATCCAGAGAGATATACTGTATATTTTAATGTTTTCTTCATAGCTGGAGGTTTGTTCCATTCTTTGAGGAACTAGTATAATAAAGACATTAACTTGTGTTTAAAACAATGATTATCATCATCTCTGTCAGGCTTCCAGCAAACTCTTGTTTCCAGTGAGAGCACTTGGTGGAAAGATGGATGCACACTTATAACATTTACATTATGCTGCTTCATGTAGAAAGACATATCACCATTTTCTGCTGCTCCCTCCCTCCCCCTTTTCAAAATCATATTAAAATTAACATGAGTTCCATTTGATAATTGCTGACAGAACATTTTCCTCTCTTCTTTTATTTATCGATTACGATGACAGGAAACACTGCCGTGGCGATTAGGCAGTCTGAGCCATGCTGATATACAGTGTCGGGGGGGTTAGGGGTTGGCATGGGGCTCACAGAGGTAACCTGTGGCGAGGGCTGCGCTCTAACCAAACACCAAAGCCCTTAATTAATGGGAGATGAATACATGATGCAGGTTATGACTTCAGCTAATTAGGGAATTGTTAAATAGAGACAGGACGGTGCTGGGGAATTCAGCAGGGGCTGCAGATGGAGAATCGATGGTCAATGAAGAGAGAGAGCATGTAGGCAATTTGCCAGTTAATGTGTTCCCAATATCAGCTGAGGAAGGTGGAGGGTGGCAGGGCGGAGAGGCCATTTTACATGTATTGACAAACAAAGACGGCAAACCCAAAGGACAAAGCTTAGAGAAGGGTTAATATAAATGCTGTGAAAATAACAAAATGCTAGCAACTGTGAATACCTGTCATTCCTCCCACACTAAGAAGTAACATCAGCAGTCGAGATCAAGGGGGTACCTTTGCACTGTTAGTTGTGTGTATGTTTGGTGCCGGTGTTTTGTGCCACTAATGCATCAACCATGGCTCACCAAGGAAACACAAAAGAGGAAATTTGTAGATTAAAAAATACAAATTTTGGAAGTTAAACGCTCTACTGGGTTAACACAGACTGCTGAAGTTTCAGATTTGTTTTAGCTGAACCTCAGAATGCATTATTGCACAGAGCAAGCGCTATGGATTTTGCCCCCCATATCTTCCAGGGTGGTCACACTGTAAAGCAATCGTTTCATAGTCACTGGGGAGAGGAGGAATGTTTACAGTGACCAGTGACTCTTTCAACTTAAATATGGCTTGTGTGTATTGTTTTGAGACAAAAATTACAAAATCCAAGCCTCCCCTTTTTTGGCACGTACTGCAGGTAAATCACACTAACTCTCCCTCAAGGAATCTCTCCTTTGTCTTGGTTGGCTGTTCTGGTTTTTAATCAATAAGCTGCTCATGTTTGAAACTGCTGATTGAAGGACATGTTTGTAATCACCAATTATTTGTTAACAAACTAATGATAGTATTAGGTGAAGTCTATATTGACAAAATGAATTTTTTTTAAGAAAAGAAATCTTAAAATCTTCATAGAACCTTTATCACAACAATTATTCAATTCCAAATTGGTGACACCTTTATGGCTCTATTTTTGCTTTCTTCTTAATATTCACTGTTGTTTACATAATATGTTCTTACTATGATTCCTTTATAAACAAAATGTCAATGTTAAAACTTTTGCATGTGAGAACAAATCATTAATAACAATAATAAAAGGAACTGATTAACTTAGAATAACCCAAGTTTAAGTTAACTGCTGTTTCAAAGGTCAAGACTGATTCATGATGCTCAACTTCTAAGTCAAGATGGACAAGAATTCCTTAAAGTGCTAAAAAAATTGTTTTTAACCTCAATAATACGAATTACAAACTGGCAAGCACATTATGCTAACGAAGATCAAGTTATATGGTTGAAAGCTATTTAATTGACCTTGACGTTGTTTTCTTCTACTGTATCAACTGTCTAAACACATTGAGTCACTCTGAATGTATTCAATTTTTGAATGGAGAGAGTTGCATTTTGAGTTGTTTGCAGCCTTAATTTTTGCTACACTAGCGAGTATTTCAAACCAGTCTGTAGTGAGAGTTGAACATGTTTGGCTGCCACAGAGGAAATAAATTCATGACAAGTGAAAACAAGAGAAAATCTGTCAAACAGCCAAGAATTACGTCTGTCACAGATGCTGAGCTCAAACAGAGTGAAGTCACAAAAATGTTAATGTCAGAGAATAATATTATACAAGAGAAGTGAGAGAGAGAGAATCGACTCACTGCAATAACTCAGTCAGCTGACTAGTGGCCACAGGTGAGTTGTTTACAGACATGCAACGGAACAAACATTTTGGTAAGCAGCCAAACGTTGTTACATTGTCAGATGGTTGTGGGAGGATGAGAAAATTGCAGTTCAAATCAATTCACTATAAGTCTTGTTGTACAGTGCGATCACTCACAAAAATGTGAAGGTTTACTTCAGGACATTGTGCTCACTTCGTCAGTGAGCATACATGTATTCTGTTACTCCCCATCACTGCTCAAGGGGCTGGCTTTACCTGTACATGCAGGGTGGCCGTGACAGGGGGGTGAGGTGAGTGTGAGAAATGTAATATTGTCCATATCGTTGCCTTTTGCAATATTAATATTGCCTATGTTCACACCTAGATAAGGATATCATAAGGATATAATGTTCAGCTCAAACTTATTGTCTGTATAAAGAAAAAGAATGTCACATCTTTTCATGTCTTGCTCATCTTGAGTCCTGCTTTACTGAAACACATTCAACAGTATCTGACTTTAGCTGCAGGTGCTTGTCTTGCTAACACTTGAAATACTCTGAAATACTCGTGAAAGTTGCCAATATGCTTAAAGGGATAGTTTGGGTTATTTCACATGGGGTTATGTAAGGCAGTTTTACACAGTCAGTGGTTTACCTGCACTATATTCGGAAAGGCACATTGCCAGTTTGGAGAAGTAGGCACAAGTACCAGAACAGAAGGTGAGAGTACCGCTGTGGACAGGGTCGGCAGAAAGAACATGTTTTAGCCACTTAAAAGTTGCCCGCTTTATTTTGCACACAAGGTCACCTATGCCATGCACTTTATTACACCGCAGATCAGCTGTTTCAGTCAGAAAGACTTGTGTGTAGGAATACGGAAGTTCAACAGTTGAGAGAGTGTAGTCCCAAAGGAAAGGGCTGTTTGACGGTAAGATAAAGTTGTGAAAATTTTCAAAATATAACTTACACTTCAACTGATATTGGCCTTTTTCGGTGGCCATTTTTTAAAAATTTGTATTGAAAACAAAATGACCCCGTCCACAGCAACATATCGCCCAGCTTCTGTGCCGGTATTTGTGTCTACTGCAGGTAATACACTGACTATAGGTAAGTAGTTCACACAACCCCATGTCAAATAACCCCAACTATAACTTTAAACATGTCATCAACTGTCAGCCTGTATACTGACCCACCTCACAGCCAGGAGGAAAGCAGGACCTGACCCAGCAGGCGTTGTTGCTTAGGGTGAAATTAAATGTAAAGGTAACCACAGTAACAACTTGTACTGGGTGGTATTTTCCACTGGACATATCTGTAAGAGGACAGTGTATTTTACCACAGAGAAGGAGTTATGCATCTGCTGCTCCAGTGTGGGGAGAATTCATTCAACAGCCCACGAAGCTTGCTGCACATTGTGACCGCTACAGCACATCTGTTGATCAGCTAGACTGCACACAGTCAGGGCTTTCTCCTCTAGAGTTTATCTTTTTATAAAATGAAAGACTTACTAAGTCCTTTGTGGGCATCAAGGCTGGTGTACTCGATGGTTCCATTGTGGCCCTTCTTAGGGTTTTCCTTGTATTCTTTGTGGACTCCATCAGGACAGTATCTGTAGGACAGCCCGTAGTCTACTAGGTAGACCTAGAAGAGCAGAGTGCACACACATTACTAAATACAAAGCCATTCAACCAAAAAATAAAAAACAAATTTATCCTTTCTTTTTAGAGGTGTAATCTTCATTAAAGCAGATAGCTGATAACTGACCATTTGCATTATCAAAATAATTTGCACACAGACGCATAGCCCTCAACTGCGCTACATAAAGTGTACAGCTTGTACAATAGAACAATCCTCACTAATGTGCACATGCATGATAGTTAGTGGAGATTTACAGTGGACCAACCTTTTTAGGGTCTCTGTGTCCCTGCATGAGGTTGGCAGCTTTAATGTCTGCATGGACATATTCGTTCTCATGAATATACTCCAGTACATCCACCTGGCACAGCAGCCAATGACAGAGCATGTAGACACAAAAATAAGAATAACAGAGGTCATTATCTGTTAAAGTGGCTTTTGACTATGAATTTCTATCTGAACTGCGAGAGCTGCACCCAGCCTCTTTATACGATAATCAAGTCATAAAAAGAATTCCATGATTATGATCTGACCAGTTCTTGACCAAGCTGGAGCACAGTGGTCTTTTTCGGATGACCTTTCTTCCAGACTTTCTGAAGGTCACTGCCCAGTCGGTCCATGACCATAAAACGATAACTGAGTGGGAGAGGGAAAGGCCAGCAGTCAAAACCTTATTCCTGATATGTCTTGGGGTTTTTAGCCTGGGAGTACTAAAAAAACCAAATAAACCAAATTAGAAAATCTGAATCAGACAGATTTTAAACAACCTTGTAATAAATATTATGGTGACTTTAATATGCTGATGGTTTATTTACCAAGTCTTGGGTAATGAAATAAAGGTTTAACAAAAGTTATAAGAGTTTAGCATTAACTAAGACACTTTGGAAAATATCTCCTATCAACAGAATGTGGGAAAATGTCCATGACGAAAAATTGAAAAGGGGAAACACATTTCATGTCTAAAAATATACTTTATACTGGAAGTTAACACTGGCATTTCAACACATTCTGAAGTCTTCCTTTCAAGGCAAAGACATAGTTCATGTGAAACTGAATGAGTCAATGGATAAGAAAGGTCTTTGGTTTAAATTCTGTCAAAAGAAACACTCAAAGACACACCACTGAAAAGTAGCCTTGAAAGTTTGCTCTTTGGCTCAGCTGTGGCTGGAAGGCGACTGCCTTTAAACGTTAAAGCAGATAAATCCACTCTGAAGGACAGCACAAGCAAACAACTCAGAACATTTTTGTCAGTTGCAAGATGGATACAGCTCACCACAGTACCCAGAATTTACCTAATGTACAACACAACAAACATAAATACTAATGCCCACTAGGTCAAGTATAAAACACAGACAGCTTTGCCGTGTTATAAAAGCCCGGCAGGTAATTTACTTTACCTTCCAAATACTTTACACTGTGTGAAGTAGCTCTTATTTTGAAGTTCTGCCCATAAAGTCTATTTTAGCTAATTTTAAAAAACTAAAGCTATTATTATTTGCACCTGCTGACATTTTCTCTCATCTGTGATAAAACAATTTAGAAATAAAATGCTATGGTCAGAATAATATCCTTCATTTCAACAGTTCTGTCATCTTACGGTGCAACATATTATAAAAGGCTGGTTAGATTTAGGCAAACCTACAGTAACACTGTGATATGCACAAAAAATACCGATGATGGTTTTCCATCTAATAACATGTTGTCCACCATACGCCGCCTTTGTCATTACCTGAGGCCATTACATTCAGCAAGTCCTGATCCCCAGTAGGTCGGGATGCCCAGGAAGTCCAGTTTCTTCCTTGTCAGCCATTTTTGTCCTGGAAATATTAGAAGAGGAATAAATATGTAATTGTGCGGAAACACATTTCTATTTTTACACTCCTGGTGCTTTGGACCACCTAGCTGTACTAATGAATCTGTGGAGGTTGGCAGCTAGAAAAACTTGCTGGTACTTATTCCAACAATTTCAGATTCTTATGATTTCCTAACCCTGACCTGAACCCCAGTCCAACTGCTCTCTTTCTCACAGAGGAGTCTGAACAAAAGCCTCCAAACTCTATGAAAAGCAAATGTTTTGTCCAGAATTCAGATTTGTCCTTGTAAGTGTAATAATGCATGCATGCAAATATCAATCTTACAGTGTTGAGAGTACAAACACACAACTGCAAACACACATACACACAGAGGCCCCAGACAAAGCAGTGGGTCTGGCTCAGGGCTTGATGGCGACTGGCCTGACTGGCACTCAACCAGGCTGGCAGGTGGTCAGGGGCTCAGCGGAGGCCCGGGCATCATTACGTGTGAGTGGCTTCCTCTCTCTTGCTCCTCTCCAAAAGAAGGCACTGGAGAGCCCAGACAAGCATGGAGAGGGGGGCTAACTACCACTGAGGTGCATGTTTGCTTTGGCTTATTATTAATTACTGTGCGGCACGCAGCAAAGCCTCTGTCTGCGACCACTTCATCAGTCAAACACACTCGTGCTCCAGCGAGCTGCTGGGACGCTGGACAGGTGGTGCTACTCACTGTTCTCTGGTTTGGCTGCCCTTTGGTAGAACTTGAGCTCCGAGAACAGGGGGCCATTCTCCTGGTATTCCTGCACATACAAGCAAACAGTATTAACTATTTCATTATTACTGGTAAAAGCTGCACTAGGCTGATTGTCTGTGACTAAATCACAAAGTAGAGTTGTGATAAAGGTTAGTGTCCCACCCAACAAGCATCATTCCTCTCGCCTAAATAAAAACTGCCTTTGCATGCGGTTCCTTTTTATAGCTCTCTTCCTGCTCTTTCTTCCTGTCTACCGAAAGAGCAATCTCCAAAATACCTGGATGGAACACAGCATCCAAACAAAGAGAATTTCCATTTCAATAAGTAAAATCTGTCTTCTCTCATTCCCTTGTTTATTCCACCCTTCAACCAAGGGTGTTAATACTACAGGGGTAACTACTCTTCATGTTGGTCTCTTAAATATAATGTTAAGTTAAAAATAAAATGTAGAGCTAGAGCCAGCAGCCACTTCATCTAGGCTAAAGGGTGGGAACAGGGGGAGACAGCTGGCCTGTCTCGGTCCAAAGTTTTAAAACCTTTAAATCTCATTATAAACACCTTTTACTGTTTGTTTGATTCTTACAAAATGTGTAATATAAAAAGAAGGGTAAAAGCTATCATTTGTGGTTTTACATAATCATAGCCACGTGCCTGAGTATTTCCCGGCTCAAGCCAGTAATTTCCTAAAATCTAAGTCACCGTGAGGGAGTGGATACTCCAGGAAGTTACTGCTCCTTCAACGTTCTTCTCTGTACATGTGTTCTTAAGGACTTGTGAAACGTCAGCATTCACAGCCCAAGCACTGTTATAATTCAAAGTATACATTTAACTGTACAGCATTTATCCACAAGTACAGTCTAAATACCCGAATATATTCTCATTCTGCCCATTTCCATTTTTTCCCTGAAAAAGTCTGTTTGTGGACCTTTTATTTCAGTGTATTCAGTCACAGTGCAGTTAGACACAGTTGTTTTGAAGTGTAATCACCAATGCAGAGCTGAGCTGCTGATTTTAAGAAGAACGCGGCTGTTCCAATTGCGAATAGTCCTCCCCTCCTCTGGAATCTGGACTTCTGAGTTGAAATTATCTAGTTCAAACTCCAAGTACAGGAGTGCAAATTTGGCAAAGTCTGTATTGAGAAACAGCTACAGCCTTTGTAAAACTAAAATATGTAATTTTTATACTTTGGTTTTTGGTTGAATTCAGCTGAAATTTATAGTCCATTTTGAAAGCATCTTTGTGACATTGTTTAAAGCAAAAACGATTATTGTTTACAAGTAAACAATCAAAGAACAAAGAGATGTGGACTGTGGTCTGCACGCTGTTTTTGTGACCTTAGTTACTACGATAAACGGAAGAGATGCTGTCCTGACAGTTCTGCCAGTGCCTTCTCTAGTTCAGGCCCTTAAACAAGAAGGGGTATGTCAATTTACCAGTTTGATATTGAATACAGTCCAAAGTCTGAACTAAAACCTGCATCTGCAGTCTTACTCTATTCACTCAGCAACCATTTTCCAATGTGCATGAAAGCTTCACATACTGAAGGCTATCCCAAACCAGTTAATGGGAATTGGAAGTGGAACAGCAGCAAGGGACTTTGCAATGCATGTGTGCCACCTCAGGATACTCTACTACCCCTAAACAGCAGTGCATGTGCAAGTTGTTGGAAAAATCATCAAACTGACTAAAGTTTAATTTTGCTAGACAGTCAAATATTATTTTTGGCCATCACTTGTTGCAACTTTCTCATATGCTTTCTCACAATGGCTCCAAACTTAATCACATGATGTTTGATGAAGTTATGGCAATGTCTCTTTTCTCCTTCCAGAAAGGGCATCTTGAAGTATATACTATAATGTCAAAAGCATTAAGGTGTCCCTGAAGATGGATAGGCTGTCTTTGTGCTGCACAAATGTACTCACCAGCTTTATAACAAAATCAGCGTCTTCTGCAACACGTCTGTCCACATCCTGGGAGGCTTGAAGACAACAGGAGACAGTGAGGAAAGATCAGACATAATGAGGACTAAAATGTTATGATACATTATGTTAAGTCTTAACTCTTGCATCGGATCAAATCCTTGGGATTTTCAAAATTTATCCAAGACCAGGGGAATTTTACAAAATGCTGTGCTGTGTAGCTGATTGGAAAACAAGGGTCCTCACACTTTAGAGGAGTAGAGAACTCTTTCAGAGCACATGACATGTATTGGAATTCTTGTAGCAATTTGATTTGTTCAAACAGCTTTCACAACCAAGAGAAAAAGAGATCAATCAGAGTAATGTCTCCCTTGAAACAATGTAAGTATCTGGCAGAAAAGGAGTTATTCTACAAATCTGCATATACATACTTATGTGACAGAGTGTGGATGTAGCGGGTGCGTGCATTGTGTAGGTGTGTCATCAGACACAGTGTGCTCATTACAGTACCAAGATAGATCAGTCCAAAGCCACCTTCACCAATCTTTCTCCCCAGCCTCCAATTCTTTTTCTCAGTGTCTGACAGTATGAAGCCTTCTGGGAGCTCTTTCGGTAAGGCGTTCTTTCTTGGTGGTGCCATGGCAACTGAACAAGTTTCAGAAAATATCTTCAATATGAACTTCTGAGATAAAAATGAAAGGAGATAATTATTATGATACAAACTATGAAAACAAAAGTGAAACAACACTATGAAATCTGGCCTGGCTCATACAACACTTCCGTGTGCCATTATACTGTCAGTTCCCCACTATACATGTTAAAGAACAATGTCCATAAACTTAATTTACACTTTGGCATCATGGAAATTCTGGCTTAATACTTCCTGTTAGCTAACTAACAGTACCTACTGAAGCTTGAGCTGGTAGTTAATTTAAGGAATTACAGTCTGGTTCCTGAGCATTTTGAAAGACACTATTGCTTTTTAGTGAGTTCAAACCCATAACACTGTTGTAATCTTAAATGTTGATATTTCAACAAGTCGGAAAAGAACGACAGTTGACGACTGTTGACTGCAACGGTTAAATCAACTGAAAACCGTTAAACACAATAACGTTATCTGGCATACAACAATTAACGGTTGGGATAAATATTTTTTCTGGGAACTTAAAGATGACGTTTAGAACACTAACGTAAAGTAGCACCTAACCGGCAGCTCACTTTGCTAGTGATAAGCATTTAAATATAATTCACACACTAAAATACTCACCGACCTCCGACGGAGTCGTCAGTTGGGCTTTCTGAGCAGAAACGTGTCGGTAAGCTGTCGAAATAAATACTTTAAAGTAAATGTCTTCCTGAAATGTTTACTTGTTCTACAACCAGTTATCCCATGGCTCGGTATGAAACAGAAACAAAATCCTATCACTTCCTGGAAGTCGTCCCTCCCGCTACACCGGACAGCCAATGGGCTGCAAGAAAAAGTTTCTTAATAACCAATGGCCAATAGAGAGAAGGGAGAGGCGAGCGAATGCAGTAATAAGCACTCATACTGACAAATCAACATGCTGTATATGTAATTTATCGCCTGAGGACGTTATTCCCAGATTAGACAGAAAGTCTTGAGAGTTAAAACATTCTTATTTTACAGACTAGATAATCTATGAATAAGCAGCATAAACCCCACCTAGTAAGCACTGTTGAGATGATTGTATGTCCGAATAAGATTAATGTTTTCATATGTGTTTTTAAACTTCTGTATTTTTTGCTTATGTTGTTGTATCCCTAACTATTAAATGTATATACACAATTAAATAAATAAATAAAACATTATTTTCATATATACAGTATATTGTCTTTTTTAAGTTGTCACAGTGTCATGAGAAGAGATGCCATCTTTATGAAGCATAAAGGCAGCTCTGAAAAGAAGTTGCACTCATTTAACCTATTACAATGAAATAAATTAAATTTTAAATAGATATCAACCAATTATAAAAAATCATTCAAACATATCGTATGACTCCATTTACTTATCATCTTACCAAATCAGTGTCACGTTATTTTCTGAATACAATAAATACAGTTCATAGCAAGGCTGTGCCCTTCGTTTGCAATATGATACAAGTTTACCCCTTCACAAGAAGAGTCTGTGAAACATTTTATTAAGTTATTTAATTATTTAGTAAGATACAAAATTAATTCTTCATCCGAAGTCCTAATTATGGCAGAGACTTCCCTGCCACTGAATAGCTGTGGGTCGCCCTGCTTTACAGAGCAGATGATTCCCATAAAATAAATTCATTAGTCTAAGTTTAAGCATCTAATGTTGTACCAAATATGAAATTTAAGAGGACTTGCCACCCTTATGAGAGTAAAATTCTCATGTTTTGGCATGAAAGTGGTTCAGTTGTGTTGATATTGACGTTATAGGTAACTTCAGTTAGAGAAGATATCCTCCTGTGTAAAAATCAGTCAGCCTCCATATGTGTCATATAAAGAGTGATGTTGCAATATACTGTATGTCCTCAATGTACAGTATATCCTCTGGATACATGAAGATAAACATTAACAATATAAGTAAAATACCCATTGTATATCAAAAATATTTTTTATGGTATAACATGTTGCAACCATATATGTTAACAATATATATTTAATTCATATATGCAAGTTTATTAAAACAACATACATCTACATATAAAAAATCTATGTGCTTATATGTTTTTTATTATTAATTTATCATTATATGGTATTGGTCTTCTAACTTCTAATACGCTTCATATATAATTTGTACATGTTTTTATTTTATATGTAGCCTACATATATTTCATGTAAGGAAATTCAATATATGTATTGTACATATCACATATTATGGGTTCTGAGGGTGTCATCCATAAATGCCAGTTTCACAGAGAGCCTGGCACACCCTTGTTACTACTTAGTAAAGTGCCTGCATAAATACTCCAAATAGTACCTGAGGCAGCCAGTGTTAGCAGCAATGTGCAGCAAAATGGAGCCAGAGGTGGTGCTGGACTCTGACATGGGAATCAGACTTCAAAGTATCCTCTTGTATGCAGTTTATTCAACTTACTCACACAATCAATAACAGTTTGTTTTCAGGAATTCAGGCTTCCCTGTTGTAACCCAGTTTGATCTCCGCTTTGCTCTACAACATGGTCAATACCATGCCTGGCTAATGAACTCAGGCTGTAACCGGTGGTGGACACAAACCCACACATTTCTCTCCACTCATCGCTCCCAATCAAGCTTGTCTTATTCCAATGAAAGGAGAGGGAAAATGTATCCTCTTGTTGCTCCTGCCGGCGTGCACCTGTCTGTCGATCTACAGGCGCCCTTAGGGCCTAATTTAAGACTCAAGGATTCTTCTGTGAAAGGAAGAAAATAAAACATCACTGGATGAACGTCAGGGAGTCATAAGGACATGTTCTATAAATGTTAGCTTGGACTGTTTAAAAATTATGGCACTTTTGTTGTATGATCTAATTCACCTTGTTCTCTCAAGTGCCGAACAACACAACATCGAAACTCTATGTATATGCCATTCCACAGTGCTCATTAGGTGAGTAAGGGTGCACACAAAAGTGTAGTTTACATTGGCAAAATGCGTATCGCTTCCTGTCCGAAAGAGCACGGTTGGACCTGGTTAGCCTAGCTTAGCATAAAGACTCCAAGCAGGGGGAAACACCTAGGCATTGTCCATAATCAAAAAATAGTAAATTTACCAACCTTCATCGTAAAAATGATAATTTCATCATTTTAGAGGAAGTGTTATGTTCCATCTAGGGGTGGCCGAGACACAACATGAGTACCCCATCTTCCCCAAGTCCCAAGTAGCTACAGGAAACAATACTAAATGTTAACTGGTGTATTCATTTATGAAGTGGTTTATAAACTGAACGTGTAGTCCAGCTTAAGGGTAGACCAAAGGCCAAAATAACAAACAAAACAAATCTATTTAGAAACTCAAAGCCAACATAACCTAACCTAACCTAATTACAAACCTAACCTTCATAACCAACAAAAACAGGAGAAAAGGTGGTCAAAAGAAAATGGCATTCCACCCCTACTAACTCTCAAATACCACAAAAACCTACACATGGCAAAAGTTACATGGAGATGAACAAGGATTTTCTCCACTTAGTTGGTTCCTTATACTGGAGGATATCTGACAGGAGCCAATCAGCTGCCAGATTAAATGTTGTCCACCAATCACCGGCTCATCCATGGCACTCATCTATTTGCATACATGCATTAATTCACATGTCACGCTGACTTTCAGGCCACAGGAAAGACAAAACATACACAAACAAAAAAAAAACAAACAATATGGTCGCAGTCGTAACAGGAAGTTACAACTCTCTCAGTGAACAGCTGGTCACAGTGATTTCCTGGAGGCGAGTCATCACAGTGACATGGGTTTGGTGTCATTGTGCCAGTGCACTATACTAAAAGCGGCTCACTAAAAATATGTGGTAACCAAGTGGTAAACTCTGAAAAATGAAGCCTACACGGAAGTGCTAAAGACTACAGTTCCTCAAATGACCACTAGAGTCTGGCTCCAACAGTGAGTCAATCCCCATAGACTCCCATGTTAAAATGTCCAACTTAACAGCAGTAAGTTTACAGTCAGTTTACAGCCTGATACAAAAAAGAGTTTTGGTCTCTAATGCTAATTTCCTCCTTCATGACAACTGTTTATATAACTCACCTGTTTACATTTTATTAAGGTTTAAAGTTCTGTATAATTGAGGGTGTGCTGTTTTGAGTGACAGGTGGGTGAGTGTATCCTTGCCATAAACCAGCAACCAAAGTTGCACCTCTTTGCCCATTTATGGATTAGCCAGGAGTTAGGGGTCAGGCACCGCCAAGATGCCGATTGTAGAGCAGCTCACTCTGAGCTTCAAAACCTATGGGTGATATCACAGAGGCTACATCCATCTTTATTTACAGTCTGTGGTGGTAACCCATGCAACAGCTGGATATGGCTGGATAAACCTGAAGAGAAAATTAACATACAACTCCTAAAACCACAAATAGTTGTTGTTACATTTTACATGGTTAATTGGTGAGCTTTAGAGGTGTTAGTGGGTGTATTTTTGAAGTTTGTAGCTGCATCCTCCTGCAAAAAAATGTTGAGCTACTCCTTTAACTCGTTTTCAACTGAAAGAGACTCTTCACTACAGTGGGACCAACACAAGTTAAATGCGCTGAATTAAGTCTTTGTCCTTGTCCAGCAGGATACAGCTGTGCAGCCTCACACCCAATTGATCCAAAAGTCACCGATGTTAACTTCATTGATACTGTAACCTCTCGCTGTGGCCCAGATTTTAACCCTCGCCACCTTCCATCTCTCTACCACTTCCTCTCTGTTGTCTTCTCGCTATTCACTTGCCCTCTACCTCTCTTGCTCTTGTCTCTCTCTCTCCTCCCCCTCCTCCCCTCTGACTCTGCCAACTCTCATCCGGGGTAATTGCTCTGTGAGTTCGGTGGTGCCTGCTGAATCACACTGCGGTTTCCTCTCCCTGCCTCTCATAGTCTGGGCTTGGTGACACCAATCTCGCTGAGGGCGCGACACCATTTTTTGTAACTGGCCCTCATGATGGAGATGGTATGATTGTCCTAATTAGAGGGGCGCGGATCGGGGCGGCTGCGGCTCTGACCCACCCCGGCCTGAGTCCATATGGTGGGAGGCTGATAATGAGCCAGTTAATGTGCTGTGTCCATCAGTAAGAGCTACTCAGTATGGACATTGTGCCAAAGAGATGGAGGAGGTTTTACTCTCTTTGCCCTCTTTTCCACCCACCCTCCCCTACACCCACTCCCTCATACACACATAAATTTACATTTTAGCTCCAATAAAAAATTTTGTCACTCAAAAACCTGATATATTTATGTGCTTAATTACCTACAGTAGTCATACTTGTCAGCACATTAGTGGGCGTTACAATTTGTCAGTAATTATGGACATCCTGCCCCCGTATCATAAATGACATTTCAACTGTTTCATTTTATGAATCATTTGTTCCTGGCCTTGTCTCTCAGCTCCCATCATGCAGCTGTGCCACTATTTCATGTTGTGACTTTGTTTCGCTTATGAATATGAAATTAAGCCAGTTCAAATGAAAGTAATACAAATCTAATGGCCAGTAATGAGATGCTGTTTCACCATTATTGGATGTGGGCTGGGTCTACGCCATTGTGTATGTGTGTGCATTCTCAACGCTGTGTATGATTTGATGCTAATAAAACCATACTTTCTGCTCCAGGGAGCAAGCACTGACCAGGATTCAGATTAGGCCTTAATGGCTTCCAGGCCTGGGGCTAAACTGAAATGTAAAACCCCAAACCAAACATCACTTAGTCCTTACATTTCTT